AAAATTAGCGGCGGCGGGGGTTTGAAACTAGAGTCAGCAATTCCAAGATCGCCGCTCTGATACCATGCTAAAATATGAAAACTATGAGAGAATATTTGTTTGTGGAAATTTTCTATGTATTCTTCTCCTTGTAGGAGGTCATATTTATAATACAACAAAACCTGAATGGGCAAGTAAATAATAAATTCCTAAATCTATTTACAGTAGAAATCAGGAATTAAAGTAAATCAATTACAAATAAAATAGGAATCCTTGGTGTGTAAGGAAAGTAAGTCAATATCCACAAGTCACACCAACATATATATGTCTTACTGCCTAAAAAGAAAGTTCATAATCATTTTAATCTTAATTGATGTGTGCTTTTGTTTGTGTACTGGCACACTATTCCCCTTTTTTTCCTTTTTCGGGGTGGGGAGAGATGGTGATGCTTGAATTGAGTTGTTTGTATCACCAAACCAAGGCATTACTCTATATGTGTCCTTGTTGCAGGATATTAGAAGGGAGCTAGGCATATCAATAATTTGTGAAGAAAAAGTGCAATTGCAAAAGGTAGCTGTGCTTTTCAGTTTTCATTTAAGGTGTGGTATTTGTTTGGGAATCTGCTTTTAATTTTTCTGTACTATTTTTCCTCTTAACAGACAGATGCTAAAACATGTGAAAAATGTGGCCACAATGAGCATACATATTATTCCAGACAGGTATTCTACAAACGCCCAATCATCTTCTTCTGCCTCATATTTTTCCTGTCATCTAATTATCTTCTATGTTGCCTTCTTTTCTTTTAATATCTTTTTGTATAGATGCGATCAGCAGATGAAGGAGCAACTACTTTCTACGCGTGCACCAATTGCCAGCACCAGTTTACTGAGAATTGATATGTCAGAGGTTATATAACAGACTACGGGGATCAAAATGTATGTGTTATGTCACTAACAGAAAGCGTGTTCGTAATTGAGTGGGGTGTAGACATGTAGGATATTTAAGATTTATCTGATATCAAATTTTGAAGTTGTACTATACCTAGGATTAGAATAGAGTGAGTCAAGAATCTTTATATCCTATTTTTGCACCAAATGTTAATTGCAAATTGTTTTCCTTGTGTGCTTTCCCTTCTGCCATGAAAGGAACGAGCTTGCCAAAGTGAAAAGAGCTTGTTTGCAGCATGATATGCTAACATATTAAGCAAAGTGATGGACTGTTTGTTATCCCGTTGCTGCCAACCAATGATACTGCACATGAATGTGCTGCAAGCCTTTTTGTATGTCCCTGGGAACAAATACAACCAATTAGCCCAATTACAACCACAAAAATCCTTAACTTGCTACATAATTGTCATTTTAATAGCAACCATCCTAAAATCCAATATGTCAACAAACTTTAAAGTTTAATAACTAATATAGTTTAACCCAAAGATCAAAAACTTCTAAATTTCATCAAACTTCAAAATGCATCTTTATCTGGATTCGTTTGAGGCTAATTTACAAAAAAAATAAAAACTGCAATAAAAGTAACCAAATCAGTCAATATAGTTTAAATCGGCAATTTAGCCGGATTGTTGCCCACCTCTACCAAATCGACGTTAGGTCATTTCCAATAATAGAGCTAAATGTAGTCCAAGGCTATAAATTTAGTCCTCTAAAATATTAATTTTTTAAAGAACAGTGTATGGCTAAATTTTTCTATCTCCAGTCATGCAGGGTTATATTTTAGGATCCTTCATATTTTATTATTTTGAGAAAAACTATGGTACAACACTCATACATTCAACAACTATGTATTATTTAATTTAATTAAATTACTATTTAGAGACAATATTCCATATGACACGTATACGTTGATAACATTTAAAAAGATTATTTTTAAAAAAAAAATCCTAATGGCTAGGTGGTGTCAACGCCCCTTTAATATTTGTTGTTGGATATGCATTTACCAAAGATGTTTCGTGTTTTTGCCCATTTGTGAGAAACTCAAAACTGGACTCAACAATTTGTGCTTGACTGTAAGGATTTAGTTCAGTTACTTTTCATGCATATAAAGGATTTATTGATTTTTGGAAGCATTTTAGGATAAGTTTTCGACAATCCATTTTGGTGTAATTTGATTTGGTTGCCATTATTTTAGGAATTTTAATTATGTCATCATTTGATTTTATTTAGTTTCCTTCTATATTCGAACCTCTTTCCACTACTAGGGCCATGAATAAATTGAGAGATCACCGTGATTTGGCCTCCCTCTTGGTCTTCTTCTCGTCTCCCTTTTATTCTCTCTATCTCTCTCTGTAATTTCCCTTTGGGTCCTACATCAAAGACTCTATTAGGTGTAGGAATTTAATGGTGGCGGCAGCAGCGGTGGATGTGGATGGCCATGTAGTTTCCATTGCCCATCCCTGATCTTGGGTTCGAGTTAAAGGTATGCGCGTGTGAGATGTTTAAGCTTCTTCAACAATTGTTAATAATTTGTTTTTTTTTTCACTAAATATTACTAGAATTTTATATTGAAGGCCTTCTTGGTTGGTACTTTTCTTTTCTTCTATACTTTCAAATTTTTTTTTAATTAAAGAAAAAAGAGGGAATATGAGAGATGATAAACAAAAAATACAAAAAAATAATAATCATACATGAATATAAACTCAAAAAAAAAAAAAAATTTGTTTTTATATTTTAGCTTTTAATTTTTTATTGTATATAATAACAGAAATTAGACAAGATGCAGCATTCTAGTAAACAAAATCAGCTTTCACTAAATTATAGATGAAAAAGATTACAATAAATTTCATTAGATATCAGGGCTCAGACAGTTGTCCAAACCAAACCCTATTTCATCACCAACCAATAAAAAAATACACCAAAAAAATTATAATTAAGACTGGAGAGGAAGTTCCATATGACCAAAGGGAAGATGTACACACGACCCCAAGGTCATTGGCAGTACCGCACCCAGCAGATCATATTTACAAGATGAATGAGAAAGAAGCCAAGCTCAAAAGCTAAAAATATTACTGAGCGTTGAAAAATAAAGATCGCCAAAATGCTAATACAAAGTTACAAATTAATGAATTGCCCATCAAATATCTAATCCCAGTAAAAAAAATTACACTTTCATAGAGCAGATCACTTAAGAAATTTCTCTAATCCAGGGAGTTCAATTCTCTTCATCAAATGGTTATAACTCTATATAGTATCCTAGGTCCCTCTTTTTGTCATTTGTACTATGTTACAATCCTCTAAGCACCTCCTCTATATAGGTCGGTACCGTCACTCTTTCTGAATTTCCCCCATTTTCATTCACGACGGAAACTCTCAATCCGAAATAAAGAATGCTGAAGACTAAAAGAATGAAACTTGGGGGTTACAGTCCTAGGACGGATTTGAAAAATTCACTCACCACGATAAAAGGGCTTCCAAAGATGCATCTCAACTCTGATGTCACACTTCTATTACTCTTCTGTGGAAAAGAACATAAGCAGCTGAAGACTTTATCTTATCCTGGCTGATAGGGTTAACATGGCTATCATCAAAGTCATACCACCGATCAGCCCCATGTTGCACCAGGGAAAAAAAAACAGTTGAACTTCAGTATGAAGCAACACAAGTTAACCTATGCATCAAATCATACCAAATTACAAGAAAGGGAAAATAAGCCTCCAATTTTACAGATACTAGATTAACTAGATCAAGTTCTCTTGTATGACTTGCAGTGCCTTGATGGCATGAGGACAATTTTAGTAATTTATCACTAAGTATGAGAGACATTAAATGAACCCCACAGTGAAATTTTGCAACAAAGTGCAAAGCCTCTCAGGTTAGACATGGAAGAGATTTAAAAACAAAAAGGAATAACTAAGTAACTATAATTATTTCAATTTCTTCAAGCATCCGGTCAAATCTTGATGCTACCAGATTAAGTAGCAAAGTTATAAGAATCTATGCCTCAGCTGTAATGTCTAGTTACCAACCATATCGTGTAGAAATTATTATTGCATGTTTCCAGCCTTTAGTAACCCCCACAACAGTCACCAAAATTGGTGACCAAACGGTAACTGTTGCCACTTTTTTTTGTAATGTTAATGGCTGTCATGTTGCTATTTCTAATGCATGTCTACCAAAGAAAGGATGAAAAAAGAACAAAATAGACCAACATCCAGAAAGAAAACCAACAATCTAAGTATAAGAAAGATTTCATAATGAGAATTCGAAGCAAAAAATTTGAAAATCAGAGCTTGAAGATGAGGAGTAGAGCTAGGAGCATATGATCAAGGTTCGTTCGAGGTTCCGAACAATCCAAAAAAAAATTATGAATAGAAGCACGATTTTAGAACAAGAAATCGAAGGTGAAATATTGAAAATTGTAGATTAGAGATGAAGAATATAGTTGGAGCTGAGACTGAGCTTCAATGGAAGCTCCTCTTGCTCAACACCGAGAAAGCACCAGTGAAAGGAGAAAATGAATATGATTTGGTTTTTTGGCAATTTAATATTATATCAAAATCTACAATTGGTTGATCTGATTTTTCTCTAAAATCCATAGTACAAGGGCCATATAGTTATTTTACAAATACAAATAAACTAAGAAATAGCTATTAAATTGAAAAGATTTGCAGCTGTCGATTTTTGAGTTTTGTGTGTGTGTAGACCTTTATTACCTGCATGTAGAGAGGCTACAAAGGCTTTAGGTCGGCGTCTTTGACGTGCTTTCACCATACCTTGCTTGCTTTCTTTTTTCCTTATTTCTTTGTTTCTTTATTTTTACTTTACTTTTAAAGCTTTATTTTATATATGATTTATATTTAAAGGTTTTGAATAAGAATTTTACAGAAAAGGAAAAACACAAATTTCAAATAACACAAATTTCTCTTTTTTGTTCTTAAAAAAGAAGAAGCATTGATTGGGGAGTTATAGTAAACTCAGTTTCAATGGTTGCGATGAGAGGAGGGAGGCTTCAATGGCGGCGAGGAGAGGACGGAGGCTTTGCTGCCGACGGGGTGGTGTGGGTGGGTGGAGACCTCGGCTGGCTGCTTGGTCCTGGGTTCTCCTTTAATTCTCTGTTTTCTTTTTTCTTTTTCTTTTTCTTTTAGAGTTATTGATGTTAAGTGAATGGACAGATGCCAAGATTCTAGGCAAGGAACAGGCGGTCTGTAGACTTTTGTTGCTCTACACGGCGCTTTATGTTACGTCAATTTGAACGAGGATACTTGAGTGGAGGACAGGCTTGAGTGGAAGAATTGATTAAGGCTTGAGTGGAAGACAAACTTCAGTGGAGGAAAGTATAGATAAGGAAAGCATGCCACGTTTAACAGCTTTATCTAATAAAGATTACTTGTTGCTTAGGAATGCTGGTTTTGTTTCGAAGGGTGGTGCCTTGGCTCGGACATCTCCCTTGTAATTAATCGAAGGTGGAATCTTACAAGACATACAGCTGCTCATTAGCTCAATATCTCGCTCTCTTTAAAGAGATCGAAGCAAACTGCAATTTGCAATTTGTGTGATTCAAGCATGAATATCTGATACTAGCAAATACCATTTCTTGGTTTGATGAGAAAAGTTTGGTTAGCGAGGATAAAACCATAAAGTTTACCAAAACACACAAAGACAACGGATAATTGCTAAATTTATCCTTGTGTTCACTGCTTAGATCCATTAGCATTAAAGTCCTTCTTTTGAAATTGCGTTATTATTCAAAATTGGAATTTGCTGGTGATAATTCATAATACAAATTAATACTGATTTACATACATTGCAGGTATATTAACATACATGCATATATGTTCAGAGTTGAACACTAATGTACCTAGACATATTGTATTTGGGAATTCTGTGAGGCCATTGCTCCTCCGTAGGACATCCTCCCAATCCTTCTTGATGGAGACCGCCTAAGCTTCATTCACTCAAGCTCAGTGTCCATGGTGCATGCATGTGAATTTTGTGGTTGGCAAAATGGGGCTTCGGCTTGGCAGAGTTGATGGACGTTTTTGGGTGTTTGCTGAGGAATGCTGGTTTTGTTTCCTTGGTGGTTGAAACCAAATGCTCAAGCGCCTATTTATGAATGGTGGTGCCTTGTATCAGACATCTCCCTAGTAATGGGAGGTGGAATCTTACAGACATGCATGTGGAATTTTGAAGTAATTTATTCTTCTTATAAGTTATATTTCTAAATCTTGTCATACTTTTAGGGATCATCATTTACCTGCAGGCTGAAGTGGATTGCCCGAGACTTGATGGGGCCCGATGGTTAGGCTCGCTCAGTCCGGCCCGACCTATGCCTTTATTTTTTAAAGATTAATTGATGCACTCCCTAACCTCATTTTATACTTAATCAAAACTCGATGGGCCGAAGTAGATTGCCCGAGACTCGATGGGCCAAAGCTCAGTCCAGCCCGATGGTTAGGCCCGTTCAACCCGACCCACTCTAAGGTTGGGTAGGCATGCTCGGCCTTGGCCGCCCTATGCCCTTCTTTTTTAAAGATTTAATTGATGCACTCCCTAACCTCATTTTACTTAATCAAAATAATGTAATGTGTATTATAAACTAATAAACTTCTTTTTTGTCTTTTACACATATTTATAAATTAAGTTAATTTTTTCAGTTATGTGGTGATCTATACTATTGTTTAAGGGAAGACTTTTTATCCATCACTTTTGACCCAAAAAAAAAAAAAGTGTAACAAAAAGAGTTTAAAGACTTAGGTCATTGACGCCCCCAATCTAGTCTGGCCCAAAAAATAAAAAATTCTGAGTCCAAAATTTCATGCCGGCCCGGCCCAATGACGAACACTACTATAGCTCATCAACTGGCTCATTTTTATTTGAGATGTGTAATCCTAGCCTTGAGGCAAGGCCACATTGATTCATGAATATCTCACTGTCTTTAAAGAGATCAAATCACACATATTTGCACAAATGAGATGACTCCAAGCATGAGTACTATAACATTTGTTGGTTTGATGAAAGTATGGGCAACGAGGGTAAAACCATACAAACACACACAAAGAATATGGACAATTGCTAAGTTTATCCTTGTGTTATTGATCCGACCTAATTGAAAATTAAACAAGATGAAAATACATAACATTCACTGCTTAGATTTATGAGCACTAAAGTCCTCCTCTTGAAATTGCACAAAACGGCACTTTTGGTCTTTGGTAAATTTTTAAAATAAATGAATTTTTTACTTATTTGTGAACTGAAATGCCTCTTAAAAAATAATGATAGTTTGAAGAATTTGATAGAAATTAAAAAATATCCTCAAATTACTTGGAATTGAAGACCACATAAGCAAAAACACCAAATTGAAACCTCACTTTTGGTCTATCATCTTTTGTCGGTTTGCCGGTTATCATCTTTTGTCAGTCCGACCTAAAAAGAAGAAAAAGTTGATAGCATCTTGTACCATTTTTGCCAATGTGGGCCCAAACAATTTGACGAAGTCCACAGGCAATTTCTCAAAAGCAATTGTGTGAGTGTGAAGCTAAACCAATATTATTTTGCATATACGACCCCGCATCCCCATGTGAGGCTACAGAAGTGTTTCCAAAACGAAATATGTGATATTTCAAAACGAAGCTATGTATAGAGTCATTTGTATTCGAATAAATAACATTTGATTTGTGAAAGCATTTTATATTTATACATTCTGATATTCGAATAAATAAATTGACTAAATTTAGCCAACAGGGTTTACCCGAATAGAAAAGTTCTTATTTATATACTAGTGATTTCAGATTTTAAGTTTAGACTATCGCATGTATTTAAAAAAAAAAGAAAATTGGCTTAATTTGATATATTTCCGTTTTTTCCTATTTCATTTTATGCTGGGTGCCGTTATTAAGTTTTATCCTTGTTTCTTGTTGAAAAGAAGATTGAAAAAAATAATAATAATTCCTACAGCTAGCAACTTCTCCACCTTCCCTTCTTCGCAACTAGGGATGCCATTGCAAGGTCACCATCTCAGATTAAGTCCTTTTAGAGCATTGCCACCAGAGGGCCCAAGGGGGGGTTGGGGGGGGGGGCAAACCCAAAAACATGTTTCCAGCAGCAATGATCTGCCCGGGCAAACAGTGGAGCCCACGAACTTGGGCAAGCCCGAGGAGAAGGCTGGCCCGAGCTCCAGCCCGCGGGCTGAGCTGACGTCAGCGCAGCTGTTTAAATTTTTTTAACGCTGGCGCGTGTTTAAAAAAAATTTGACGCGCGCTACAGTGCCCCGCTAACGGTAGGATTACACGTGTCGCTCCCTGGGCCATCCGATCTGCTTTTTAAACTTATCCAACGGCAGCCATTTTTTCGCGAATAAAAAAATCGAAACAGTAACCCCC